TTTGTTTTTTTGTTTGGAATAATTTTTATATATACAAATAAACAAATTTAATTTTTATAAAGAAATTACTACAGTTCGTACATTTTGATAAACAAAATTATGATTCCCATCCAATATAATATAATCATTGTTTCCTCGAACAATATCATACGTATAATATTTTTCCTGCTTTAACATTTATTACCATAGTTATGAAATTAATCAAGATTAACCTATCTCCCAATTATAATCCAAACAAACAAACAATACTCTCATGTGAACAAAACGTTGGTACAATAAAACACCCCTGGGATGAGAAATAAGATTTGATTAGACAACAACAAAACAAAAAAAAAACAAAAAAAGGCGTCAAGAAAATAAATAGAAATCTTATTGATTTCTAAAATCCAAGTTAACAACAAAAAGCTCCCAAATAATCGGCTTTTTGTGACACTACTGAGAGACATGAAGAAACTGACCAAAAAATCGTCAGGATTTTACACTTTTGTTATTTCCTCTATCTGATATAACAATCCCAGTGAAGTAACCGGTTACGGGTCAACCCTTTATATACCTTTATATACCAATACAATGGTATAGTATAATAGACACATACATACAAAGGAACACATACTTTGTCGTTCATATCTCGGTTTCATATAGGAAACGTAATATTTCACTCTCTTGTGTCTCTGATCCTTTCCCAGTCTCCTCCCCGGGCCCCCTACCCCCCATTTTCCTTCCTTGATATACCAATCCCTTTTCCCAACCCTTTTCCTTTGAACGTTTTCAACCCCCATGGTCATATCGTATACCTATTCTCATCTTTCCCCCAACCCCTCTTACAAATCCGAGAGAAAATGACAATAGATGGGGGGACGAGGGGTTGGGGCAGCTGGGGGAGCTGGGGGGAGCTAGGAGAACCAATAATTTCGATGTATACTGTTTCAAACCGACGCAAACATTTAAAATCTGGCCGAAGGTTGAACAATTCTTGGCATACCGGAGATGGGCTAGTGGTTTTGTTGCTGTTCTTGTTGTTGACGAGGGGTTAGGTGACCTGGGGGAAGCTGAGGGGAGCTGGAGGGAACTGGGGGCCAATCATTTTGACGTATATTGTTTGAAACTGATGCAAACATTTAAAATCTGGCCAAAGGCTGAACAATTCTACTGCTGTTATTGTTGTTGTTGTTATACTACTACCCAATTTTAGTTGGAAATCATTGTTGGACTCTATAACAATGGGCCAAGCCAACTATGGTGTATTTCAAATAGAACAGATGGAGAGATAGAATCGAGGTATTTTAGGTGTCGCTTATAACCGGCACAACGAAAGTAGCTTCCTGCTGTTACTACTACTACTATTACTACTATTACTACTACTATTACCATTTTACCATCACTTATAATGTAATTTATCTTTATTAGCATGTCGGCCAGCTAAAATCCGACGGCCAACGAGTTTATTTTAACCATACACACCAACAAAACAACCATGGTATACATATTTCCCTTTATTGTTTTCAAATATATTGGATTAATGATCGTTTGCATTGTTATTATTATTATTATTATTATTTCTATCTTCTTAATGAATTTTCTTCGAGATAAATGAGAAACAAAGTTATAAATTTACGAATAAACACAACGATTTTAATTGTTTATTCGATAATTAATTAAAGATTTATTACAAACAAAAATATCTTTGATAATTATACGAATATATTTATGATATATATATTTTATAAACGGAATGAAATTTTTCTGACATTTTTGCAGAAATTAAATATTAATTAATTATAAATAGAATGTTTACACTAAATTAAGTATAAATTATTTAAAAAAAATAAACGATAAAAATTATGATGAAGTTTTATTATTTGGATTAAATGAGAAAGACGAAAAAAAGAGAGGAGGGGAAAAAAAAAATTACCGAGCGCATATATGCGCCCAAAGCATTCAAAATATAATTAAAAATTGAATACAATGTGTTTCAGAACAATTTAATTAAAGAAAATTATTAGTAAAGTTATAGATTATATTTAATGCAACATAATCGTGAACTCTTGTGGGGTTACAAGACAACAGGTCCATGTCTGAAAGCTTCCGAGGTCAACAGGTAGCTTCGATAGAAAGCACAGAGACCGAATAGAGAAAGAGAGCAAGAGAGAGAGAGACTTCTCTTTTGTGAAGTCTATGAAAACAGTGTGCACCTATGTCGCTTGGAAAATCGATCCGTTTAAATAGCCGATCGGGGTTGTTTTTTGTTTCTTCTTCTTTTTCGTTTAAGAAAAACAAAAAAAAAAGCTCATTTTGAATGCTTTCATAATACGCAGAGAATTTATATTCATTTATCGATCGAGTATAATTGAAACGCGAACAAAGGGGTGTAGTTTAATCGAGCTAGGGGATAACGCACGGTAGATTAAAAAAAAAAAAAATTAATTATGATTGGATGTTGAAAAGGGGTGGGGGTGGGGGGTGTTAAAAAAAAAAAGAAAGGAAAGAAAAGGGCTCGAGTTTAACATCACGAAGGGTCTTCTTCAGAAGCCTGACAGCTTTTATAAGAGGACGAGTTGAACATTTGACGGGTGGAAAGGGGTAGGATACGTAAAAGGGTTAAAGGGTTGGAATTGAAGAAGACTAAAGGGTGAAGAGTCAAAGTTCTATGGGGGCCACTTCGGATATCTTCATGGGTTGACTGTTTCAAACACATTTGCGTGTATATTCGAATAACCCATAAACGGGATGATGACGAGGGTGAGCTTTCCTGTCCGTTTGATTTATTTCAGATTCATAAAGAATAATTTGCTACTTTCAATCATCATCGTTCAACACGAAAGGGAATCTTTTAGGTAATCTAATGACCTTGATATTCTCTTTAACCATTTTGAATATACAATTCATAATGAAATTGGGGTTCAATATTTAGGATCAATAACTATGAATAATAAATTATTCTGAAATTCTATGAAAAATCTTGAAAGAAAACTTTGATCCAATTTTTCGGATAAACACATTGAACAAAAATTGTGTTCATATAATGAAAAATATTATTAACTAAATTAATTCTTAATTTTTATTATACAAGATAAATGTATCATTATTCAGTTTGATGTTTAGTTTTATTTTTGTTTAGCAATGAATCAAATGACCTGTCCAAAATTTTTCTCCCCTAACCATAAACTTTAAATTAAATTTATTAAATCATTATATTTATCATACAAAATAATATAAATATATAAAACTTGGTTTTACTCTACTGAAACACTAAATGTATATTTAGTTTGTTTTTTACTTATTTTTATTGCACAATGCATTTGTTAAATGATCTGTCTTCGAAAAATTTATATATTTTAGTTAATAAGTATAACAAAACAATATATTATTTATATATGCGGTATAAAATTGTTTACTTATAAGAAATTGTATGAAAAATATTACAAACCAATTGTTTTAACAAAGTAATGATACATTTAATGTTAAAACACAAATATATATATTTAAATGATTGATTAAAATTACAGAAGATTTGTATGCAAACTTTTGCATGATTAATTGTGATGTTAGAATGACTTTTTGTTTTAACGAAAAAGAACCAAGAAAAAGAATAAAATGAAAATTCAACAATCCCTAAAATGACTCGTTTATAAAAGATAACAAAAATATATATTATATTATATTAGGATTAATCAAAAGTTCGTGTGTTTTATTATGTTGAAGCTTTACTTTGAAACTGCATATAATGGATATTGTTTTTATTAAAATTATTTTGATAATATTTATTTAAAAACGTACGAACTTTGAATTCATATATTACATCCTTATAAATCATACATTGAATCCTTATAAAATGATTTGTTTATTTGAAGAGTTAACAAAAATATATTATATATATTTATAATACCTTTAATAATTTACTTTGAATCCCTATAAAATAATTCATTTATGATGTATAACAAAATTTCTATATATGTAATTTACATTGAATCCCTAAAATGATTCATTTATTTGAAGAGTTAACAAAAATATATTATATATATTTATGATAACTTTAATAATTTACTTTGAATCCCCATAAAATAATTCACTTACAATATATAACAAAAATATATGTAAATAATTTACCTTGAATCCCTAAAATAACTCTTATAATATATAAGATGCAATAAAAAAAAAATATATATCTATAATAAATAATGTATAAATTACCTTGGAAAGCAGCTTCAAAGGTTGTCTTCTCATCGACAGGATTTTGTCCAAGGACTACGGCGATAGCAAGGTAGCCGAGAATCATGATAATCTGACGACTACGACAAATCCTTGCCATAGTCCACGGTTAAACATGCACAGCCCTTTTTTTTTTTAACGTTGATCGATCACCCTCGTGTTCCCTTCACCCCCTTTACTTCCTTCCTTCCTTCCTTTACTTATTTATTTATTTATTTATTTATTCCACAGGTAAAAACTCTAGTTGAGATGGATTTTTTTAAAACACACTTTTAAAGAGAGGAGTAGGAGGAGGAATAGGAGGAGGAGGAGGAGGAGGAGGAGGAGGAGGAGGCGTTTACTAAAGCTTCAAGAAACTTTTCTTTTTTTTTTTCTTTTCGTTTTTCTTTTTTTTTCTTTCTTCTTCTTCTTCTTCTTATTCTCTTTCTCTTTTTCGGTGCTTTTCACCAACCCCGTTCTTTATCTAAGTTTTTTTTTTCTTCCTCTTCTTCTTCTTATTTCTTTTTATTCGTATTTTTTGCAGTATAGTAACCGTGACTCTTGTCCGATCTTCTACTTCTACTTATTATTATTATTATTATTTCTTTTTATTTTTCTACTTCAACTACTTTTTCCTTCAATGTAAAATATACGTCGAGGTAAAGTTAGGGGGTGGGTTTTTAGTGGTTGTAGTGCGAAGGGGGTAACAAAATACACACACACACACACACAGAGAGATATTTTATATAAAAAAAAATACAACAAGCACGTATACACGAAAACACAGCACACGTGTCCTGTTGATAGGACACCTTTCCTTTTCTTTCTTTCTTTCTTCTTTGATTTTCTTTCCTTGTTTTTCTTCTATCTCGTTCTTTCTTTCTCCTATGGAGTTTCAGTCACTAGGGTCGAGTGTCTCGAAGGGAAACCGTGTAACTTCGATCGAAACCCTTTAAACCTGCGAACCAATACGAGATCGTGTCAAGTGGACGTATTTTCCTCTCTCACTCACCTACAACCCCTTCCACACTACTCAATCTCTCTCTCACTTACTCAATAGAATCAAAGAAAGAAAGAAATAGATATATATAAAGAGATGGTAAGTGAAAAGAGTTAGAAAATAAAAAGGGATAGGGACAAAAGGGATGATCCTAGGGCAATAACTTTGTCTACCTTATTCTTGCATTTTTCTTTTGTTTTTTTCCCCTTTCCCTACTACCCCTTTTTTCGAATACTTATCTTAACTGTAGATTTATATTATTATTATTATTATTGCAATCCAATTATTAAACTTAAATCCTACATATTTAGATTCTTATATATATTTTATAATTTTTATTATTATATATATAGAACATAATAATATATCACTATTAAATATATATTTAATTTTAATATATATTATAATATATATATTATAATATATATATTATAATAAATATTAATATTTTATTATTTATTATAATATCTATTATATATATATAAATTATAATAAATAATAATATTATATTAATTACATATATATATGTGTTCTTGTTAGAATCACACATGAAATAATTAAAATGTATTTATGAAGTATATAATTTCTATTAAAACTATTGTAAAATATCTGTTTGTAATTTAAAAAGATAGATGAGAATATAAGATATATATATGTATGTATAAGGGTACTTATAAAGAATGAGAAAGAAATAAAGGTAGAATGAAAGAGAATGAGAGAGATAGAAAGTGCATATTAACCATCCCGTCGAAAGCTCTTATCTTAAGAAAGGTATGACATATGTACAAGTATATCTCTATGTAATGTAACTATATGTATAATGTACTTGTACGTTTATATATGTGTGAGTGTTCAGAGTGAATCGTAAGATTGTTAACCCTTTGAACTTCTAAGTCGAGTCTGTCTGTCTCAACATCAATTTACTTCAAAGATATATTATACTATTAAGTGTCGATTGTAACTCGACATTGTTTCAAGAGTGATATATTATTATGTTCATTATAATTATATTATATTATCAAGA